TACCTTAAACCCTTGCTCTCCCTTGTTTATGTAAGCTCTAAGATTGTCACACTATAATAAGAAAAGAGATACATATTTATAATAGCCAAAATCCAACAAATCCATAATAAATCCCAAAACATATCTCCTTAATTGTTAGAATAAAAGATATTATAATAATCTTATAATATCTCTCAAATATTATAAATATCTTATAATATCTCTTAGACTATTATAAATATATATCTTATAATATCTTTTAGAATATTATAAATATATATCTTATAATATCTTTTAGAATATTATAAATATCTTATAATATATTTTTATATTAATTTATATGATCTCCAAATTAATATAAAATATTCTAACATTAATGAATGGATCAATGAACCTAACCGAACAAACCTGATACTTGTAAATCGTTCAGATCAGATTACTTTTCGGCTTTATGATTTTTGGCAATCTCGAAACATGTTTTCTTTCTCTTCATCAACAAAGGTTTTAAGGAATATTTCAACAGCATAATTTCTTAGTATCTTTTGTCTTGCCTTTAATGTTGATAAGTGTTCCAATTAAATTATCACGTATATTTTTATCCACATGCATCACATCAAGATAATGTCTTACATCTAGACTAGACTAGTATGAAAGATCAAAGAACACTGACCTCTTTTTCCAAATATTTTTCTCCACAGCCTTTTTTTGTTTCTTTCCAAAGACAACATTAATGTGTTGTTGTAGTTTATAAAATTCCTTCCCGGTTAAGGGCTTTGGATGGATACCAAACTCCTGCTCTTTGTTAAAAGCCTTCCAGAGTCCACGGTATGGATGATTATGTCTTAAAAATTTATGATGCCCGAGATAAATTGTTTTTTTTTCCTTTTTGTAATTGGTGGTGACATGTATCAAATTCACATATAGGACATACTATATGTCTCTTGACGTTGTACCTAAACAAATTTCCATATGCAAGAAAGTCATTGGTTATGCAAAATAACATGACACACACCTTAAAGTTATCACATGTATACACATTATCAACATCAAAACCTTCCTTCCACAAAAGTCTTAAATCTTCAATTAATGGCGTTAAATAAACATCTATGTCCTTTCCTGGTTGTCTTGGACCCGAAATCATCATTGATAGCATCATATACATGCACTTCATGCACAACCATGAAGATAGGTTGTAAATTACGATAAGAACATGACATATGATTAGTATTTAAATTACCAAAAGGGTTCATTCCGTCAGTGACAATTCCAAGCCTAAGGTTCCTCGGTTCAAGGGAAAAATCTAGAAACAAGAAATCAGTTTTCTTCCATTGTAATGAGTCAGCTCCATGGAGAATTTTTCCATCACACACTCTTTTATCTGCATGTCATCTAGTATTCTTTGCATCATTAACATTAGCAAACAATCTATTGAACTTTAGAATTATTGGTAGGTACCACATCACTCGGAAGAAACACCCTTGCTAGTCACACCATCATCGTCGTCAACACCATTGTCCTACTGCTTGTAGCGTGACTCCCCACACCTTAGGAACTCATTCAAGTTTTCAAACTCTTTCCTATATAAGATACAATAATTACGACGTGCGTGTATTTTAACATATTCCAAACCCATTGGACACGATATCTTCTTGGCCTCATAACTATGGTTCGACAACGTGTTACCTTCAAGAAGCATTTCTTTCAACAATTAAAGCAATTCAGTGAATTTTTATCAATCCATCCACCTATTGCCTTAAGATTAAATAGTCTTAACACAACTGACATTCTTGTAATACTTTTACATCCCAGATACAACGAATCTTCCATGTCTCTTTCCAAATTCTCTACCATATTAGCTTTCTTGAAAACATTTACTCCAGTATCACGAATCATGTCTTCTAGAGTATCAATCATAAAGTCATCATCTTTAACTGTATGTAACAAAGGTTTTTTTTTTTGTAATTTTTAATAATTCATCACAACCTAAATGATTGAATATATTTTTATTTGAATATTTTTTTGTATTAAAGCACTTTTTACAAGGACACCAAAATATTCCATTGTTTTTAGGAAGATTTTTTTCTAGCGAAATCAAGAAATCGTATCACTCCATTCTCATACTCTTTACTCAATCGATTGACTTTCATCCAACTACGATTCATAATCACATAAAGATTTTAAAATTACATAATAATATAGCCAACGCATTAATAAAAAACATGACACACTCAAAATAATAACAACAACAACGAAAAAGGAAACAACAACAAGAATAAGATAAAACAATAATGGATAACTTGTACATACCCGAAATGTGGGAGAAGAATGGTGTTCGAGCTTTCTTCCTCCTTGGAGAAGAATGGTGTTCTTTCGCTAGGGCTCAAAAAGTGAATGATCTTGACTTAACATTAACTTTGAGTAAATAAAAAATTTAGAGAGTTTTTATCTTGGTTTCGCTAAAAACCAAGGGAACATTATCCGACATAAAATCTATAAAATATAAAGGCACATTTTTTGGTTCTAAAATGAATACAAAATTAGAGAGTTTTTATATCGGTTTATTTAAAAACCGAGGGACAACATCCGACATAAAATCTATAAAAAAAATAAAGGTTCCTTTTTGGTTCTAAATAAAACACAAAATTACAGAAGCTGTGAATCAAAGCTTATATAACCTCAGCAACTATTTATGTCGGTTTTAATAAAAAAATTGAGGAAAAAGATTAATTGTTTTTTTAAATAAAACATGGCGCTTCCAATACCTATACCCTTGGTTTTTATTATTCGAGATGAAAGCTTCGTCGTAAAAAGTAATATTTGTAGTAGTGGACCCATGTTAGTTTTACCGGGCCCCATGGTGGACGCCACTGTACTTGTCAAAAAGTACATGTGTGTGTGTCCCTCTACAAGGGCAGTGAGACTCAGAGATCCTATTAGGTATATTACACGTTTGGACGGCGAGGGCTTGCTCACAGTAGCGAGTAGTCCTATACGGTGGTTTTTGAGGTTGTTTAAGGGATTCACTCACGTGAGGTGAGATATCCTGTAAGTGATTGGCGTTGCTGGGTTGCAGGCGGGCGATTACTTTGGTTGAATATATTATGGTGATTACGTGTGTAATGCTCTTTGGATAATAAAGAGAGTGTACGACTTAGAGTTCGTCCTTATTCCCTTGAGGGATTATGTATTTATAAGAGATTTTAGTACCTAAGATTTTCACGGGAAATACCATCACCCATCTAGTCAAATAATGGACGGTTGAATCCATATTTTCAATAGAAATTTGATTCAATAATGACTCTGACTTTCTCTTTATCAAAGACACGCCTTACTCCATGTTTTTTCCTCCCTGGGTGAGGAAAACTTAAGGGCAAGGCAATAACTCCCTTCGGACAACCATGCGTCATCGTCTTTTCCTAGGGTGGTCCTTGGGTATCGTCTTAGGCAAGGTGTTTTGAAAATATAACACCACAATACTATCTGAACGATTTCGACAAAGGAATAAAAATCCTCGTATAGTTATTCACTATTAAGAGATAGAGATATATGTTACATATAATTTAAGACGATAATGATGTTTATGATGTAAACATATAATTGAATTTTGTTACTAAATACCATTATTGAATAAGAAGGGAAACATTTCTTAGAGGGTTTAAGAAAATATGTTATATAATCTTAAATAAGAGGATTTATGAAACTATTATGCAATAAACGTGAGCATCCAAATGTTATCATCTAGAAAAATTATTTTCTTTCTCAACAATGACATTCCAAAGAAATATATAACATGTTGTTGAACTAAATGTACGTTCAGATAACACTATCCAAATGGTGTGTCTGAAGAGCACTATTTAAACCCATTCATTTGTATTTTTGACATGATTTGGTGTATATTTGATGTGTTATATTGTTAGTGTGTTCGGATAATACTATTTGGGTGGTGTGTCTTAAAGAACAATATTTAGACCCATTCATTTATGCTTTTCATGCATTTTAGAGTACATTTGATGCTCTGTCAAAAAATAATATATTTGATGACGATGAATTATATTGAAGGTGCGTCTGAATTGTATTATCTGAATGAGGCAAAATAGACAATTTCAAAAATTCAAAAAATTTAAATAAAAAATAGTAAATATTTTAGTATCATTGAATTTAATTAAATATTAATATCCTCATCCAATTAAACTATAATATTCAATGGCACATCACTTTTTAAAATTATTTTATATTAAAATAAATTAAAATTTAAAACCAATTTGAGCTAAACAAAACTAATGGGTACTACAAAAAATATAAGATATATGGTGTATCTTTAAATCTCAGATTCCAAAGTCGTTATCAGAATTTGAATCAATAGTTTCACGCAATCACTCAATCAAGGCATTATTAGCCGTCTGATCTTGATAGGATGATAGAATAGACATATTTAATTTATAATTTAAAAACATTATGCTTAAATGCAGGCAGTCAGATTTGCATCAGACAGTCATGATCACACGACTGCGTGAATGCAGGATTTGTTGACTGTAGCAAATCTGAATCCCCAAGTTTTTCTTTATGGTATTCTATTGAGTGATTTTTTTTATTTCACCCCTTATATATATTTTTATGAGAAAAAAGTTAGAATTTCGAAATCCAAATTTGATTTTAGAGATCTTTTATTTAGATTGAACGTTCATTATTATTTGAAACTTTTTGAGATTGAGTACAAAATAGACATCATTATTGTGCAATAAATGGGAGGTAAGAGTCATTTGTCAATTGTCATGAACAAACACCATATACACTCCGTTGAGGAGCAACCAATGCAAAAAATATCCAATAAATTAATTATATAAACTAGACAATTAAGTTATACTGCCGACTTTCATCTTCAAATCCTATGCTATATGCCTCCAAACCAAACTTGTCTCCATGCAATATTCTTTAAATAAGGTTAAAAACTAAGGTACCACGTAACCCCCAACGTCTAAAAGTTCACAACCAGTAACATGAATGACAAATAATTGAAAATAATGGCCAAGTCTAGTCACATGAACTTTGTTCTTGTTTTATCATTTCTTCTCATTATCACGTTCATCGTCGAAACTCGACCAACACCAACAGGTAAATATGCAAATATCTCCCTTTTTATTGAGTACTATATACAAAAAGCTTTTTCAATCAACAATATATATTCTGGAACCTTTTTAGAAGTGATATTAGCAATATATACTGTAAAATTGAATGATAGTTAATCCAATAATTAATCAATATCTTATATTTTGTATTATATAAATTTTGCAGCTGGAACCCCAATATGCAGCACAATTCATGCTGTGCAGGTAGGAGAAACTTGTTTCACTCTCATTCAGAAGTTTGCTCTAGAACAACCATTGTTCTTGAGGCTCAATCCCAACATCAATTGTTATAGCATCTTTGTGGGTCAATGGGTGTGTGTGAATGGCAGGGTAATTCATGAGATGCACCATGGTCCACAAAGATACAGGCCCTGTTGAAAAAAATGTAAAATAAGGAGAAACAAATATTTCTCCAAAGTCCAGTTTTATCATACCATAGTCACACACAAAATAAGTCAAATGTAAGAAAATAATGAGGTAAATAAATGTTTTTTCTTACAATAAATAAAGGTAACTTGTGTTTTTGGTCACGTAATTAGCCATTTTTACATTTTAAAGGCTGCTAATTTCAAGTTGTTGAAAATATGCTTCCAAATTCAAAAGTTTTCCATGGTTTGAATAAAACATGAATTGAGATCTTGAATAGTTCGAGATTGATTATAGGTTGAGATGTTATGGAGTGCCATGTCATGAGTGGTCACTGAAATTTTTTCGATTTCATCACAAGCCCGGTTGGAAAATATGTGTGCTCAGGTGATGAAACCAGAGAACAAGTAAAAATAGGCGTTGCACGCATTTTGGTGAGGACAACATACAATATGGTCTTGAACGAGACATTTACTCTAGAAACAAATGACAATTTTTATAGAATCAAACTTGTGGAGGATATGCATGGACCCAAAAGAATTGTCGTTCCAACGAAAAAGAAGAAGGAAGTCACCAGTAACTACACCTCAGACGAAAAGTGTGATGTTGAAAAGTTTGATGTTATCAAGTCGACTGAGAAGGTTTGCATGGCTGAGGATGTGATGTGGGTTTTATGCAAAAGGAATTTCAAATTGAAATAGGCTCCACTATGATGGATTAGGATCCAATATCATGCTCACCAATTGGGCTTAGGGGTCCTCGAAACTTTGCAAGGCCCAAAAAAAGAGGTTGTTAACGAATACCTTGGAGAGCCAGAAGGATGTTCCATCTGTACCATCCTTCTTCGCTGCTTTGGTTTCCCCTAAACGTAACTTTATTGCTTACCCTTTACCCTTTACCCATCAACCCTAACTTTTTGGGTGATGGTTGTAATTCATCAAGATATTGAGATGGTTTGGTGTTATTTTGTGTTTCAGTCGGCGACTCAGACATTAACCAAGGTAACTCGAGAGGTAGAAGCCAAAAGGAGGAGGATGTATCTTTGAGGGCGTGGAACATAATTAAGGAGCTGAGTGCCAGGATGTGGAGCATAATTAAGGAGCTGGGTGTTGAGGGCGAGGGGGTGATGGATTGTTTAAAGCCAAATTTAGGGAAATAGAGTCTAGGGATCAAAATTTTAAAAGAGATCAAAAGGTCAATCAAATAAGGGTTCCATGAATATTAGGACCTTCAATATAAGAGGGTGTGAGAATTCCATCAAAAGAAGGAGATTGAGTCAAATTATGATTAAAGGAAGGGTTGAAATGTGCTTCATCCAAGAAACAAAGGTTTAAAACATGAAGGAAGTCTTGGTGGAAAATTTATGGGGGTCAAAGGACTTTAAATGGCAGGCAAAGGCTTCAGACGGGCTATCTGGAGGCATGATAACAATATGAAGGAGTGGTTCGATTCAACCTTTATACAACTTTAAAGGAAAAGGTTTCTTAGGCGTGAATGCTTTGTGGAAAGGTATCAATGTATATTTTTTTAATATATATTCTCCCTGTAGTATAGAAAATAAGAGAATATTGTGGCTAGAATTATTACATTGTAAGAATTCGTTAGAACCCGATGATTGGATAATTGGGGGGGGGGGGGATTTTAATGCAACCAAAGTTAGGGAGGAGATGAAAGGTAAAAGTATGCATGTTAATAGTGTGGAGATAAAGGAGTTTATCAATATACTAGAACTCATTGATTTACCACTCATAGAAACATTTTTACTTGGGTTAAATCTGATGGGAAAGCTTGTAGTAAACTTGATAGGTTTCTAGTATCAGAGGGGTTGATCAATAGTTGGAAGTTGGTGGGTCAAGTATCGGGAAATACAGATATTTTTTATCATAGGCATGTTTGGATTAAGGTTAGTCATTATGATTGGGGTCCAAAGCCATTACAGCTATATAGGTGTTGGTTTGATCATGATGACTTCTCATATTATGTTAAGTATGTTTGGGATAATCATAAGGTTGTGGGGAAAAAGCACTATGTGATTACCCAAAAACTAAAAATTCAGAGGGATAGATTGAAATGATGGAATAGAAATGTTTTTGGGAAGATAAATTCGAATATTGAAGATGGGGTGGAGGAGTTAAACAATCTGGAGGAGGAGATGTTGCAATCAAGTAGTTAAGTGTGTAAGGATGTTGAGGTGAAAAGAATGGAGGTCATTGAGTCAATGTGGAAGAAGCTGCACTTTAAAGAGTGCATATTGTATCATAAATCTAGATAGAAGTGGATACTTGAAGGGGATAGGAATACCATATATTTCCATTCATTGATGAGATCCAGAATTAGGAAAAATTCTATTGTAGCTCTTTGTGATGCGATGGGAGAACTGACTTGAGGTTTTACGTTTGTGTTTGCAAGTGTTGCGGTTAGCAAGAGTAGCCACCGGCTTTTCTTTTATCCAAAAGGAAAGGTAAAAAAGCACAGGAAAGACCTTTGAGATGTTTTCTTGAGTTCGGGGGGTAGATTATGAAAAGGGAAGGTGCTAGCACCCTTTTCATCCATGATTTTCCATGGCTCTTAGTTACTTGTTTAGATCACTTGCTTTGCTTTTGAAATTGTTTGAAATGGTGCTTTATGTGGTTTTGAAAGTATTTTGAAAAGAGGCCATTGCTTAGGCAATCTTTGTAATGATTCTCGTTCGTAAAAATATATACAAAGATGTTTGTCTTTTGAAAAATGTTCCAATATTTTGAAAGATGTTTGGAAATGTTTTGAAAATGTGTGTGTGTTTGTTTTTGAAAATAGCAAGGATTATTTTGAAACTGATCAAGTAACTAGAAGCATTCTACCTACTCAAATGTCTTTCCTATGTATTTTTATTCCTTTGACATTGTTGATTTATCATTGGTTTGGTAAACAACCCTATCTTTGGATGTTAAACGGGACGGGCGTGGGTCATAGTATGACCATAATAGCAATGTTGCCAAGTATCTTTAGCATTTTGAGGGACCAAGATCATTTGTTTAGGCAACCTTTTGATAGCGTCATCGAGGGACTATGATCTTTTGTTTTGTTTTGTTTTGCCAAGATACTTTGCATGCATACCATGGCCATTTTCTTTTAGGCAACCAAGTGGGTGAAACCCTAAGGGTGCTTGTGTGCAATGTGTGTCATTTTACATGCATTTGTCTTGTATTAGGTCATTCTATTTGTTTGATTTTTGGTCTTATCATGCAAAACCCTAATTTACTACATAAGTATAAATGCGATAAATTGCGTAAAGTAAAACTAAACTATTACAACAATTATTATGGGAGTGGGGGTACAAGTTTTTGAATGGGGATATTGCACAAAATAAACCCTAAAATAACTATTACAACCCAATTGAGTTAAGTACAAATTAAATAAATATACCAATATTAAAAATGGAATAAAAATATACTTATGCAAAAAATGTTTTGTATTTTGTTTTTGTATGAGAAAATGATTTATGTAAATCCTAGAAAAAAGGAAAAATAATGGTATTATTTTTGAAAGGGGAAAACCCTAATTTTTTATTAAAGAAAATATATGTTCTAAATTAATTATTTTGTCCATTTTTGTACAAGAAAATAATAAATAAAATTTGTGTACAAATATTAAAAATTAAAATATATATGAAAATAAATATTTTATGTATAAAATAATAAAATAAAAAATGTGTAGTATTTTTAAATGTATTTATAATTTATTTAAGAAAATAAAGTTCTATTTATTCTAGTAAATTATTTTTTATGCAAAAAATAAAATAAAAAATAAAATAAAAATGCAAAAAATAAAGAAAATATTTTTCATGATTTTTTTGATTCAGAAAAATAAATAAAAACAATAAATATAAAAATATAAAAAGAAAAATGAAAAATAAAAACAAATATGCAAAGGGGGTGTGGATATCAAGTCAGGGGGGTGTGGAAAGTCAAAGCAGAAGGCCTAAGGCGCCCAAGGCCCAGGCACGTCATCCCTGTCCTCCAGCTTCCATTTGCGCGCGTGTTTGCTTCAAACCTGTAACTCTCTATTGCTTGCATAAAAACAAAAACTTGCAACATAAAAATGTAGCTTGGAATCTCACGATTCCAATGATATAAAATTCATAATCTAACTCTCAAAGACCAGGGAGAATTTCAGTAGCCCTAATTTCTGACCTAATTTTTTCAGCATGTTCAACAATCAAATTCTCTTAGCTTAGTTAATATAAATGACAACTATGCATATGTATAGCTTCACCATGCTAGAGACTACATTTTTGCTTCACAAATCGTGGCTTGAGGATGCTTAAATAGAGAGATAAAGTTTTGAAAAATACCTCCTTCAGCTGGATTTGGATATGGCAATGTGGGGACTTTGAGTGAGGCCTGAGGATCGTGTGAGCTTCCTTGAAGTTCCCTCAAGCTATTCCAATGCTTAGATGTTTTTGTGGATGGCTGAAACTCCTTGCACGAGTCAATCTACAACCTTCAAGTTTGAAAATGGTGATGTCTGAAACAGAGCTCACAGTTTCAAGATGAATGCTTGGATAACTTTGATATGATGTATGGAAGGTATTTGAAGTGTTGAAACAAGAAACGCATGAGCCAAAAATGAAATGGCTAGAGTTTTGCAGAAACTGGCAGTTTGGGTAGAAAAATGGAGTTTTTTAGTTTTGGAGTGTTTCAGATCATAAGCATTCGTGTCTTGGCTTGAAATATGTTTTTCAAATTTATATAGAATGATTCCAAGTCCACCCTTTATCAGATGTACAAGTTCTTTGGACTTTTGCAACTTTTCTTGTTTTTGAAGACAAGTGAAGTGACTTGTGCCAAAGGCCTGTACTTGCTAGTTCTTTAGCTGATGAGAGTTGGTAAACCATGCTTGATATCCGTGGACATTTCTTGTAACAAAAGAACAGGTCCAAGGCTCAAGGTTTGTAAAGTTGGAAAAGCTTGCTTTATGAAAATGGCAATGTGCCATTTATGCCATTTATGGATTTATTTCTTGTACAATGC